ACTTCTGACACCAGAAAGGGAGTAGGTGCGTCTTGACGTGACCCGCAACCACGACGGGCCATACCTGAGGACTCACGTCGCCAACAGTGTCGGGTGTGCCGGTGCTATGCTACCTAATCCCCGTACGACTTCCGACGGGGGTATCTGCTAACTATGCCGCCCGCCGGGACGGAATGGAGCGCCACGACCGGCTGACGACGCCCGCGTACAACGCCAGTGATGAACAGGGTCGCGACGTGGAGCCGTCCCCATCATCATCTACAGGACTGGTGGGCCCCGCGTAAAGGAGATGAAGGGCGCCCCACGAAGGGGAAGCAGGACGCCCCACGAAGGGCGAAAGGGGCTCAACGAGACTCAACTCCGTTCGACCTTTTCACCTAAGACTTGAGACCTGCTCCCTCTCTCGCCCGTTTATAACCCCTACTACAAACTAGTGCCGGTAACGCGAGCAGCAGTAGACTGGACGTAGAGACATTCCGCCCGAACCAGTATAAATTCTTGTGTCCTCCGAGCACACCATCTGGGCCAGACGCGTAGATCACAAATTTACTAGTCGGTGATTCGAAACACCGACACCTATGGTTTAGTGCGAATCTGAATAAACTGAATTATTTCATAAATGCTCATTAGTCTATTCTCTATTGCTATAATGGCGGTGATATTTGAAGTGAGAGGAACACAAGAAAACTCTTGTGCTAACTTTCTTATGTGTATTGGCAGCTCTGCTGAAAGACTTGATCCTCGGGAGCCTAACTGGAAAATGCTGCCAAAGATGAGTGCAGGAAGGGGCTGTCATACACTTACAGTGCTTAATGAGAAGATGTAAGTCACGTAACTCTTTCTTTTTATAGTATATGTAGGATGTTTCTTTTGAAAAATATTCTATATAATGTGTGCCCAGCAAATGTGTATACTATCCTTTGTTGATGTAATTTGCCTTTGTATTTTGTTCCAGATTCTCGATTGGTGGATACGACACGGGTGCTAAAGCAATGGTGGCAACTGTTGAGGTGTATGAGCCAAGGATGCCATCATGGGTGATGGTTGAACCCATGAACTACACCAGAGGATACCATTCTTCAGCTGTGCTCGGTGGCTCAATATTCACCTTTGGCGGGGTGAAAGGTGAAGCAGATACAATCTTGGATGTGGTAAGTAGCAACGCCAAATGACAAATTTCTTATGGTGTCCATCTGGCTGTCAATAACTCAACTAAGCTGGAACCAAAACTCATAGATCCAAAATCATGTATATAGCTGCCAGGGCTTGATAGTGAGGCAGTCACTGAACTGCTATGTGTCAAGGGTCTGCCTGCATCAACTGCATATATTGAGTCTTGGCATGAAAGTGTACTGCATTTAAGTTGAGCACATATTCTTAGAACCTTAAGCACTTGTTTTTATTATTTTGCTTTCCTGTCCCTACTACATATACAATTTTGTTATCATGTCAGTGTCTAGTGCATTTTATCTGAACAAGTGAACATGAATTGTTTGGTTTCCTCAAGTAGCCTGTTTTGGTCGCTGTCATTTTTTTTCTGCATAATAATTGTCAAGTACGTGTCGTGGCTAACATCTAAGCATTGGTGTCATGGCGATTTGTCAGGTGGAACGCTACAAGGAAGGGTGTGGCTGGGTGACAACGGGGTTGAAGTCAATTGGCAGGAGATGCTACTGCTCAGCAATTGTTCTCTGAATGTAACTGCCTACAAAAGTATTGATATGGCGAGATAGTGTTACTTCTGAAAACCGAGTGAGAAGGAAACTGATATTAGGTAAAACTGAAGCGGCTCTTGAAGTCTTGCTTAGCCTGAACTGACGGCCAAGTGAGCAGGAAACGGATATATGTATTAGGTAAAACTTAGAAGGCTCTCGCTTAGCCTGAAGCCCAGAACTGACAGCAGTAGACATGATGGAGGCCTTCCTCCTCTTAGTTTCAATATCGGAACTGTAAAACATTGAGTTGTTAGTGTTGTCTGTGTCGAATCTGTCGATGATGCAGCAACACAGGATGCCATGCATCATGCATGACAGAGTTGGTACTGAACTAGTGTAGAACGTGACTCCATTGATGAATATCCAGTAGCCCTGTGATGGCCATTTGATTTGGCTCTGTATGTTGAGCTTTGGCAAAGCAGCTTTGCTCTTTTGGTTCCAGCTAGTTACGACAAGAACTCACAGTTACTGAATAATGCGGTGGAATGCAGGATAAATGGAGATATTTACATATGATGAATACCCTGCTGCTCCGGCCGGGACTGGCCCGCCCGGTTACAGAGTTGTGCCGTAACTGATGACACGGTAAATGAGATACAACAAAAACTAGCCGTCGGATCTACCATGAACTCTACACATCGAATACAGGATGCCATGCATCTGCTGCTTTCGTTGCGGAGGGGAGAGCCGTTTTGCTGCCCCCACTCACTCCCACGGTCCGACCTGCGCATATATAGGAGTATTATATACGCGGTGATCGGCAACCGGGCAGCCATTTCCATTGATGCATTGCATTGCTAATCAGTGGTAACCAAACCACGCCACCAGAACCACGATGCATCCTCATTTGCATGCTCCCTGCTGCATGCCTATCGGCCTCCTCTTCCATTGCCCATCAGAAACAGGTAATCATGCATCCCTCTCTTTCTCTCTTTAACTTTGCAGTTCTAAATTCTGATGAGCATGATCCACATACATGTCCCGACCTCCATTCACAGCTCTATATATGCCGTTGATTCAGTTTACATCATTTTAATCTTGCATTGTTATCCAATTCCAGCCGTTGTATGCAACTGCCAAATCTCACCCCTAAATTTCTATATGGAAAAATGGTGAAGTGTAGGAGTGAAATCAATGGTTAAATAGCAAAAATGTTTTCCTCTCCCATCTTTTCGTTTATATTATATTTTATTATGAAAAAGAAATCTACAATACTTGAAGCTGCTGGTTGTGCGTTAGAAAAACAGAAATGTTCTCCATCCTCCCTCACATGTGTTTTGTTGTTGGACTGTAGACGACGCAGGCACGATGCAAGCGGAGAGAGGACTCAGTTCTTCGGTAATCGGCCAGCACCCATCCCTCATGACCGTATGCTACATCTACACAGTCCTGTCATTGATGTAGAGATGTAACGTACGGTCATAGGTGTTGGGTGCTGTTGTGGCTGTTAAACACGCCTTCAATCACCATGGCCGCCAGCCTCTTGTCTTGGAGAATAAATCTGGTATAAATACAGTTGTATGCTTTATTTATCTTAGACTAACAGATTCTATTAGTTTCGGTTTTATTACCTTGTTTTGCAGAGAGAGAGGTGCTCAGGATACACATGAAGTTACACTAAAGGGAGCAAAGGCAATTAGTTCTTGGTGCAATCGAACATGAGATGGAATTCAAATATGATGTTGCAAACAACTTCAAATGCCAAATTAGAAAAGAAGTTTTAGCTCATATACATGATCTATCAACTATGATTAGGCAAGTAGATACAAACACACTATGTTCCTGCTAGGTGCTAGCTAGATTGACATTTTGCCGGCGGGTGCCGGCCTATTGTTCTGTAATATTGTTGTACTATAATGTGTAACTTACTCATATAGACGGTCGTGCCTACCCGGCAGCTATCTTGTACGTGGCATGACTGAAAGTACAACCGATGCCATATTTTTCATAAGTCATCGTTTAATAATCTTGTAGCCCTTCAAATTAATATACAACATTCTTTTCGACTTATGTTTGATATATCACTTTGTACCCTCGTGGCAGAAATGAATTAGTTAGTCCTCACAAGCCAACCTAGATGCTGCTTATGACCGGGAGCAATAATAATGTGCCGACGTGATTCCTTCTCTAAATGTTGGAAAAGTAACAAATTTGACAGCTAGCTAGTTCTATGCCTTAAAACCTGAAATGACATTTTCCCTAGAGAGAAGGGGGAATTATATTTAAACTTACATAGTACGTCCCTAAATTATATATGAAAAAAATCTCATCTAAAATTAAAAACAATATCCTATTAAAGTTCTTCCATCCTCTCCATTTTGGTTGATGTAGCCAGTGTTCTAATAGATGAACAGTGCCACCATCTAACATTGAAGTCAGGGTACAAGACAAACCTCTTGCTGAATTCACCGACCTGTGCGGATCGAAGCCGGCAGCCGCCCCCACACGCGCTGAGCCTGAGCGGCGCCGGCTGCGTGCCGCCCCCGCGCCCGTGCTCTCGCCTGCGACGTCCATGTGTGCAGTGCAGCTGCGCGGCCCACCGCTGCTCTGCACTGGCCTGTCGCCGCCTGCGCACGCGCAACCGTGGCCCCGCACCGGCCACCCCATGCACCCATTGCCCAGCCGCAGCTAGCGCCGGGCGCCGCCCACATCTGCCACCTCACTCGCCGTTGCTCACGAGGAGGGCATGAACATGATGCGTCCACCATGTCCTGCTGTGGCCGGGGCCACTCAACCTGCCACGTAGCACACTAACGTCGATGATCAACACTCAGGACGAATAAAATCCGACCGGTGAACGACACACCGCCATTAATGTTATCCTAGACGTTAAACGGTAAACAGTCGGTCACCTTCCGTTTAGTCTATTATTCGGGTATAAAACAGATGTTTAAACTGGAAAACGGCCGTTTAAACGATCAAAACAACCGATTAAACGAAAATAGTGTACCACCGTATAACGTTTAAATGGTGTGCAAACAAGCTAAACGGCCGTTAGTGACAAGAAAGTATATATGCTCCTACCTCCAGCTAGGCAACCAAACAACTTAGCTCATGTTACCTACATTAGCTAGGTCGTTATGTACGTAGCTGGCTGTGTAGGATGGAGGATGCCCATGGTTGCTCCATGAGAATCGTCTTCACTATTTCTTTTTCGGATGAGGGTATAAAAAAAGGCACACATAAAAAATAAACTTTGAGTGAAAAAGATAAAATAATTTTTTACATCAGTCCTCCGTATCATACAAACACCCGACAATATGCCACTGCCCACTGCCTTCTTTACTACTCTTCAACTATTTCGCTCTCGGTTTGTGATAACGTAGGCAGAGGAGATAGCTCAGTGTTGTCGTTACTGCTCAAGGCACTGATGTTGATGGACTCAGATATTTGGAGATCGGTGGCCTGCGATAACGGCGAAGGTGGTGGTCCGGTGTTCATCTCGAGCTCTGTGGTCCGGGATTCACCACTCTGCTGACCACCTGTTCCAATGATCCGTTCAAGTATCTGACGAAGCCAACCTATTCCATATATCCGGGCAAGGAGTATTGATACTGCAAATGCAAACATTCATCTGTTAATAATAGAGTTTGTTTCTTTTGCAGCAAAAACATTTTGAAAACAAAACTTAGTGCATGCCATGGCCATTTTTTTTGACACTTTTGTTATGCTTAGTGAAGTTGAGGGTTTTAGGCACAACTTACTTACCGAAGGATATTACTACTAGACCCTCGCTAGCTATATGGACCCATGTACTGGTCCAGCCGGCATCCATACTCCACCTGAGACAAAATACAAAATATCGAACATGAACACATTATTCATTTTTTCATTGCGATCAGGTTTCTATCTGAACTTACTTTTCTGATGTATGATGAGTGTCCCAGCCGACAAACATCATGCCGAAGTACATGGATCCCATAGCAAAGACAAAATGGAAAAAAACCATACCCATACGGTATGTCATTTTCCGACTCTACCACATTTCTGAACTGCAATATTTGAGGCATTTTCTATTTAAGTGGCACAACAAATTTCACATTTTTATTGATTTGATGTTTTTTTCAGTTGGAATGAACATACCTATAAACATTTGTAGTCGGTGCCCGTCGAGAAAGCAGCTACAGCGATGCTGATTAGTTCAACAATAAAACTCTGCCAATGTTGACTACTGGAAACTCGAATATTTCTGTGTGTGCAAAAACCTACGGAAAAATTCGAATACCCACAGAAAAATATTTTTCTGACGGTGTACCATCAGAAAATAACACACAGAAATAGAATGACAGAAAAAATCGAATTTTTCTGTGGGTTCACCGTCAGAAACAATTTTTCTGTGGGTCTCACACGCATAGAAAAATTGTGTTCGCCCAGATTAAAACTAATTTTTCTGTGTGTTAATTCGCACAGAAAAAAGAAATAAACGCACAGAAAAGCACACGTTTTTTCTGTCGGTCTAGGTGAACTCACAGAAAAATTCATTTGGCCCAGATTAAAAATAATATTTCTATGTAGCCAGCCTCACAGGAAAAAAGAGTTAAACACACAAAAAATTATTTTAAAACAGTAGCAACAACATATTAAAATATATATTTTCCATACAGTAATTTCTATGCATAACCAACAAGGTTTCATTCAAATAATACACAAATCAGTAGTTCATCATGAATGGAGTCAACATTTATGTCAAAAATAGAATCAGTCTGATCTATCAGAACATATATCATATATACAGATATGATATCTGGTCATTTACATGTTCAACATGAATACTACAATGAATTCACAAATATGGATATCGAAAAAGAAATCAAACTATTTTTTTCTTGTTCAACCAATTGTAAACTGCTTCACCTTGCACTCCATCTCTACCTGTAAGAACAGTCAAATGAAATCATGGTGACAAATTCAATGGAAACAGTAAGGCTATTTGGTTAATCCAGATTCCACTCAATACATATTATTATCCATCGTCTTAATATGAAAGGCAGTGTTTCAGCCATTTTCTATCAAAATTGAAAAAGATATGGTACAAATATCTTTAGACTAATAAAAGCAGTCAGTCACAGCGCAATCGACAGTAGTACTCGAAGGGACCTGCCATCAGATAAAAGAAACGAAGCATTACTGATGGACCCGCTAGCAAATGAAAGAATCAAATAATTAACTGCTGCTGTGAAAGAAACTGTCAATCAGCACTCCATCACCAGTGTTAGGGATGCAATATATAATCTATTAACAAATACACCATTATAGGGTATCAGTTATTAGAATCGTGTAGCTCTAAGGTATTAAGCACTTTTTATTAGAATCGTGTAGCTCTAAGGTATTAAGCAGGCCAAAAAAATCTTCGACATGTAATGTCCACACATTATCTTTCCCTCCAAAAAATAAAGTGTGACACTTACTTCCTGTATAAGATAATCGACTTCTTTCTAGCTACCCTCCCTAAAAGCATCAGCAGCCTGCAATTTCAGCAGAACATAACACAAGCAATAAATAAACACAATATATTTACTGGAAACAAATTAAACAAAGGACATCATATGTGTTCTAAAAAAAATAAGCATCATCTTGGAACCACCTTCTCATAGTTCTGGTATTCCTCCTCATTCACAGATGGTGCTACATATAAATCCAAACAACTCAGAATAAGTTAAACATTTCGCTATGATACATGGTACAAACATAGGCTTTACATTTCTTTAGGGGATTTCATGCTAGCTGTTTTATCTCAAAAGTTATCAACATGTTGCTAAAAAACATTTAAGCTCTTGTTCTTATTCGAGACACATGTTTTGTGTTGTAAACACAAGCAACCTTAATACACTTTGAGAAAGCATAGAACACAGATTAGAACTTAGGGCAAAACCAAAATGTCACTGCGATACAGGAGGTAGTATTTGCTAAGTTCCTCCAGACTTCAGTAGAAAAAAGCCATCCTACATATCCCACAGTTGTAACTTGTCATTGGAAAGTATGAAATTTGTTTAGCCAAAGCCCCTGCAGATAACTAAGCGTTCAGATAACATTTTGTTAATACTCAACTGGTTAAATACGCAACAGGTAAGAAACAAACACTAACTTTACTTTTTCGTACCACACATTGCAAGTGGATGGGCATGTAAATGGATAACACATAAATTCAGTACAAAATATATATACAAAGAACTAAATGACTGAGAGGATAATATGTTGGCTTTAATTGTGTGTTTAGAATACGTTGGCATAATGTTTCAAGCCATCGATAAGGTTTACCTGATGCACATACAAGGTTACAAGATGTGAACAACCTGAGCTACTAATTTCCAAATAAGGCAATCTGAATGAAAAAATAAACACCAAGGAAATTTCTAAACTCTACTTATCAACTACTTCACTATTAAGTATGCTACTAATCCATTCACATCAGTTTTCAGTCAAGATGCCACTAGCAGAAAGGCCAATCAAGTGAACTCCAATAATAATAGTAAGACTGTATTCAGAAAACAAATGAAATGGGAATGGATTAGTCACAGTGATTCAGGAAATGAGAATTTGCATCACAGATTGCAATAATCACAGTGATTCAGGAAATGGGAATTTGCATCACAGATTGCACAAAAAAAATACAACCAACAAATAATTATTTAGACTTTAGAGAACTACTGCTAACTTACAAGATACTATAAAACTGGCAAAAGTTTACAGTAAAAATGAAATGTTAAAGAGAGATCAGATGGTAGTGCATGATGTGATCATCACAATGAATGCAGATATCTCCTATGTTATGATATCATCACTTCTCCCATTAAAATTCATCTTATACAACTCTAATAAACCTCAACCACAGACATGATCAAAATATCAGAGCAAAAGGGGGAGGGGAGGGCCACCACCACCACCACGCCCCGCCGCCGCCGCCACCACCACCACCACCACCGCAGCCACCGGCCGGATCCGGGAGAGGGAGGGCCGGATCCGGCCCGGTGAAGAAGGGGAGGGAGGGGCACCGCCGGGAAGAAGAAGGGGAGGAGGGGCGCCATGGGGAGAAGAAGGGGAGGGAGGGGCCGCCACCACCACGCCCGCCCGCCCGCCACCACCACCACGACCACGCCCACTGGCCGGATCCGGAGAGGGAGGGCCGGATCCGGCCGGGTGAAGAAGGAGGAGGGGAGGGGCACCCGCCGGGAAGAAGAAGGGGAGGGAGGGCGCCATGGGGAGAAGAAGGGGAGGGAGAGCCGCCGCCACCACCACACGCCACCACCGCCACCACCACCACCCATCAGAGAGCCACCGGCCGGATCCAGGAGAGGGAGGGCCGGATCCGGTCGGGTGAAGAAGGGGAGGGAGGGCACCTGCTGGGGAAGAAGAAGGGAGGGGAGGGCACCCGCCGGGAAGAAGGGGAGGGAGGGCGCCGGTGGGGAGAAGAAGGGGAGGAGGGCCGCCGCCACCACCACGCCCCCACCGCCGCCACCACCACCACCACCGCAGCCACCGGCCGGATCCGGCCGACCGGGTGAAGAAGGGGAGGGAGGGCACCCGGGAAAAAGAAGGGGAGGGAGGGGCCTGCTGGGGAGAAGAAGGGAGGGGCGGGCGCCCTGGGAGGAGGGAGGGGCTGGGCCGGGCCTGGGGAAGAAGGGAGAGGAGGGGCGCTGGGGCCGGAGGGGAGGGGCGCTGGGGAAGAGAAGGGCGGGGTGCTCGGCGCGGCGCAGGGGCCGGTTTATCAAGTATGATTTTCTTGTGCGTGCATGTATTTTTTTCTGTGCGTTTTTAAAGAACCGACAGAATAAGTTGCATTTTTTCTGTGAGTGCTGATTTTTTCCGTGTGTGTATTGTCACACACAGAAAAATCATTTAATTATTCTGTCGGTTTTTGTATTTTTCTGTCAGGATATTTTGGAACCGACAGAATAATCGTAATTTTTCTGTGCGTACCTAAAAAACGCACAGAAAAATTCGTCACCCACAGAACAATTCGAATTTCCAGTAGTGAAATCATATCTTGATGAAATATTTGATGAAATATCACTATAGATAAGAACCATGACAGAATAAAGAATACTTACAATCATAGTCTTCCAATTGTCACCTGAACTAGCTTTTTCTTTCTTGTAGCACCTTGTCCCCGGTTCACTGTTGAGGTCAAATTTTAGAGCCCAAGAAAATAAAAAAGTTAGTTTTATCATTTATTATAAACTGACTCCAATATAATAGACAACCACATCGATCATGCATAATTTGGTATAAATATTTTTAGCTTTTAATTGCTGACCAGCACAGGAATACAATGTACACCCCTAGTAGCCCTGGCTCCATGTAGAACCCCTTGGCCTAATTTAGACAACAGGTCACAGATTCATAGCCCAATTTTAATTAGTATTTCACTTGCTCTTTTTTTGATTCTTAGTTATCATGTGATGATCTAAGTAAGTATGCAATTACCTTGGAAATCATTGAGATTAGTGACATGAGATACACCAGCAGCAGTGTGGCGACAATGAATGTGATATTTTGCCAGCAGCCCACGTACCACAAGCCCATAAGTATGGTCCCAACCATAGAACCACTGTACCCTAAGATGAATTTCTAACCTACTACAAGAAAGGTCGGTAGTGGAACTTACCGTAGAGTTGAATCACATAGGATGGTGCCATTGTAGATATTATAAGGAAGATTGCCAAAAGGACAATCTTTGCCGGCCACCACTGGGAATGCCACACGTTTCTATGATCGTGTACCTTCCTGGTGTACACGGTCGACAAGAACATGACCAAGAAAAATAGCTAATTGACATTTTTAAGGACAACATAAAGGAATGTACATAAATAAAATATTTCTTATTAAGTGAAAGGTGTTTTTAGGATACAAAGAACACAAGGCTAATTATCAATATAGCCTCCGTCGATTGCCCTGACAACCGTTAAGACGCTGTCTCTCGAAGAATGTTGAAATATGGTTGTCGCGTGCTGCCCATGCGAAGATGAC